TCACCTTGGTTCGTGCAATACCAACGCATTCAAGAAGGACTCATAGCCCCCAACGCATCGAGGGCTTAGAAGATCGACCTTCTTTTGGGACGGTTGATCAGCTAAACGGCCTCGTGCACATGGTAAACGGCTATGTGAAGTGCTCACACCAATGCCACCCAGTAAGAGTGGATGCTTCACACCCAAGATCGGGATAAAGGTTCATAGACAAACGCAACTTGGATGATCCTGACCACTTCATCTATAATATATACAAACAAATGAAACCACCCCCACTTCAAGCAGGATGTCATCGAAACAAGCAAACACCTTTTTTGGTTTGCCAACGACGTGCTCCAACTTTTGTCTTCATGGAGATTCAAGTAGCCTCACAGGAGTGGATAAAATGGATGCAGCCACAACATCGTCTTATATGGGGCCCGTCTCAAACATACTCAATATAATTACCCAAACCCAGCTGTTAAACATTCTCAACCTGGGCCTTTGGTGATCAAGGAGCACCACCAACGTAGAGGCGGTCAGCCATGTTTCCAACACCGCCTGCAATTAAGAATATGGTGCCCAGGAGACCACACCTGCCATTCATTCACACGCACATGCTCTGAATCAACAAGAAACATCCGGTTGAAAACATTGTTTTTGATTGTCGGAATACTTCGGATATTTAGCTCAAAACAGGTGCAACACAGCTGGCAACTCCACCTGCTCTCGGTCTTCCGCAGCAGCCAAACAAAGACGCATGTCGCCAACACACCGCAGGCAATTGTCCTCAGATACTGTGCTGTGGGAGAGTCCCTGAAACACTTGCAAACCACAGGCAGTTTTCCACAGCCGAGGTTCTTGTTGTATACTACATCAAATTTCGACTTGCAAGCTATCTAGGGTTGAACTGATCCAAATCCAAAGAAAGCAACACTCTCGGCCATAAATTGGCAGCTTAGCATCACCTTGATCCCGATTGGTCCTTGCTTCGGCAATAGAATGCGGCAAATCTGTCTTGAGCTTTGTTCATACATGCATATATCCAAGCAGTTGTGTATCAAACGTGCAGTGAGAAGCGCATCGAGCGTACAAGTCATGGCATCATGGCACACAAGTCACTGCCATCTATATAGACTCCTCCAACGTCCAACAGATCCAACAGGCTACACAAAATCTAAGTGGTCTCTAGAATCTAGAATGTTGGAAGCAATTCAGCACTGTCTCAAATATTCTCAAATACCTCTTCAGGCACTACAGCCATGATTCTGAAACCTGTAACCGTAACCATGCTGTGTGGACCCTAGCCATCCCACGACCGCTCAACCATCAAACGACATCCTAGGCTGATGGTTTCATGTATATACTTGTTTGAATTTGTGATATTTTTCCAGATTTCAGACCAATGGCAATCTACCGCAGTGGTCGGTTGAATGAATGTCCTCTCAAAAACAAAGCAGAACCGCATATTCTGACTCTTGACATCTCTGAATTCTGGTCGAGGTTCCCAATGCACTTTGCAGTGAGGGTGCCCAATAACCAATCGCTGAACCTTCATTCAAATGGTATCCACATTGAATCCTCGCGTTTTGGCTCGGCGAGCAGGATCTTTCATGGACAATCACCAAATGGGTATGATCTCAAGCAAGGGTGAAGGCTAGTAATATCTCGGGTTTGTACAATGATTTTCATCTTGATTCCTTTTGACACACATCACGCAATGATGTTCCGGCAAATATCTCATCCAAATCTTAGCCAGATTCACCATACCACCGGCTCCTCAAGGTCTGCGAGCGGAACTCCAGATCTAACAGTCGGTCCACCATGGGCTTCTGATAGGAACGCGCTTTCAAGTAGCCCTCACCGGCCAGTCACCCAGTCGGCCAGCCACACTGACTCGGCTTCTCTGGGTGAACGAGTGACACGCAAGCAAAGGTCCCCCCAGCTTCGTTGGGGAATAAAGCTCTTGAGTTGAAGTTCAAGAGTGCTACGAAATAGTGTTGTAGCATGTGATGGCAATTTAGGGATAATTTTGCGTCACAACTTTGGGAAACGTCAAATCATCATTAGGAACAAGGACGCTACTAGGAGCAAAGGGCATCCCTACTAGGAACAAGGACGCTACTAGGGGCTCCTGGCCGTACTACTAGGAACAAGAACTCATTTTGACCTTGGCCAAATGTGCCCCCCACACACCGCACCCCAGTTCGATCGCAGCAAACCTCGGGCACAAGCAGGGTCGGTAGCAACAGCCAGTAATACCACATGGCTCCAACAGCGCATGAATAAGAGAAGCAACAAAATGTTGGCTGAGGGAAGGAAGGAACTCTGATTTTTCTATTTTGGTGTGTGATTCGATCTGGACATTCCAACATCCTGGCCACGCGAAGGTCTGAAGCAATCTCCTTGGTTGAGTCCTTGTGGCTGCTCATGGACATGGTCTACACCAATGCTGGTAGACGCTCATAAAAGGTAGCCTTTGAAGCTCTTTGATGGCACATCCTCTAGATCAATCATGATCAACTTGCTATAGCTCGAGGCTAAGCTCGCCCCATATTTCTGTGCTGGTTTTGATGCCGCTACAATAGCTACATCCAGACTTGAGCACAATGCAGCAACATGACATCCTCTTTGAGCTTGTGCACAATATGGATTCCTCCGCTTTGAGTCACAACAAGGACTCCTCCAAGCCATTGAAGCATTGATTCCTCACATCCTGAAGGGTCAACAAACCACTACCGACCGCAGCAACTATAACATACTATAACTGATCTGGGGCACATGCCACTGCCTTGCTTGGATTCTTTCCCCAAACACATGGACCACATCAATCCCTGGAGGCTTTGCCTTGGCTTGGGCGCCTTGGGTGATTCCTACACGTGACTCCAAGTGCAGTTTAAAGGTTACTGTAAGACAAGAAGTTGCAAATGGTGCAAGAGATCTTTAATTTCATCGGCAATTGTATAGTTGAAGATGTCTATTGCCATGCATGGCCATGTATGTTCCGAAAAAGATCTGAGTTCAGGGGTTGAATTGCCAATCTTCACGAACCTACCGTGCCAATGGTTTCTTTTTGGTGTTTCATGCTGCTTGCCACAAAGAAAGACCCCGTGCCGAAGTTGCAGTGTCGTTGCAACCATGACAAACGTTGTCACCCTATGTCCAACTCGACTCTGTACCTCTCCCCATATCATCGTAGCAACAAAGAAAACCACATACCCACGCAAACACTTACTTCGACTATCAGCCAAAAGCCATGATTTATGGCCACAATATGATTCTTTGGTGCTCAGCAGTACTTGTTCTGCCCCGAGCAATCACATGATTGCTTTTACCGACCAGTAGAGCTCCATGCACCACTTTGCATTCATCCTTTTTTGGCGGTCACAAACTACTTTTGTTTCAACGAGCTTTGCAGCCCCTTGGCACAATCAGAAGTTCCTTCGTTTCCTTAGATTAACAGACCCAAAACGCATCCCAATGATGCACGCAATAGTTCGCTGTCAGCAAATCTAATCTGCAAGGAAGCCATCTATGACTCTTCTGAAGAACATTGTCATTGTGATGTACGAGTATCTGCAAAAGCTTAGCATAGAAAAAGGACGCTGGAACAATATTTTGGACTGAGACTCAGCATCAGATTCATTTTTACTCCAACTGATGGAGACTTCTTGGCCAAGCGTCTGCTGTATTGGCCATACGAAGAAATTAAGCGATCTTGACCTGGGCGATAGTCTGAAGACGTTCTGATAAAACGAATCTTGAAGTTTTAGAGAGCCATGCAACACAAAATCCGATTAACACTGTTGACGCGCATGAAAATCTGCACGTTGGCAAAGGCTGAGTGGCCCTGGTAGTTTCTTGGATGGAGCATGCTGCCTTCGATTCAAGGTGCAATTGTATTGAGCACTCTTTTGGGTAAAGGAGTTCGTGGACATGGTGTTGGCTTCTAAAGAAAGTTCATGTGTGGGCGAGTATCGTCCTTATTTAGCAAGAGTCAGATGAAAAATGGTACCTTGTCAACTACTATATGGTACCTACAAAGAAAAGACACACAGAAAGAAATGCTCTCAAATCCACTCCCTGGCCGACCCCGAGTCAGGTAGTCCTCACAGCGGCTCAAGGAGTTGGTTTCGCAGAAAACACGCAAATCTACACCGGTGAAAACTAACATTTTGGCCACACAAAAAAATACCTTTTTTTGGGGCATATGTTCGTTTAGTTTCTGAGCAGACACCGTTGAGACTAACCTAGACCAATTTCAGATGTGCCATGGTGGGCCCTACGGGTACTTGGCATGGTCCATGTTAGCCTCCACCGGGCCATGTTGACCTCTACCGGCGCGGTCTATGTTACCTGCGTTCAGTTTATAGTCAGAGTGCAGTTGGTCCATGTTAGTGTCAAAATCGATCATAGACTGAGAATGGGAACGGTCCAATGTTAGTGAGGGTCGAGAAATTGCCAAAAAAGGCGCTAATACCGTTTCCCCAGGAAGTCACCGTTTCCAGTGGTCCATGTTAAAGCGCACTTGAAATTGAGTTACGGTCTATGTTGTTGTTTTTCGGAGTAACTCGACAGGTCTAAGAGTCTAACATATTCTAAGCATGGTCTAAAAATGGTCTAGAGTCTATGGTCTAAAGTCCCACAATGACGGCCCAAAAGAACCCAGGACAACACTGAACACTCGTCCAACGAGGTTTGCCACGGCCGAAAAAAAGCGCGTCCAAAGGTCTGAAAGCGAAAAAAGAAACGGCATGAGAGTCGACACGAGCGACAAGTCCGACACGAGCGACAAACGGATCTGAGGAAGGGACAAACCAAGGTTGCCTTGAAAGCAGGACGATTACCTCACCAAGGATTTCGGAGGAAAGGTCGGCACAAATCTTTGGCACAACATGAACTAGGACAGATGCCCTACTGGAGAGCAACATGAAACTCTGATTTCAGATTGTTTTGCAACTTTGCAACAGCTGAGGGTTCAGGTCTAGTTCCCTCAAGGATAAAGCTTTGCAAGCCAAGCTTCAAGTCGCTTCCCACCATCTCTGCAAGCGTTCAAACTCTTTGTCTTTGGGCATCTCAAGTCCTGACTGCAAACCACTTGTTGGGAACAGTTGAGCAGGCATTGCTTGAATTCTGAGTTCCGAAGCAAACATGAGCTACAAATTGCTACACCGTGGACACACTTCAGTAAGCTTAGATTGAGCTACAGCTTCCTCAGATCACAACTTATCACAAAATATATCGCCAACCTGTGGACCAACATCAGCCTGCCTATCGACCGACGTCATACCCACAGGCTCACAGGTGACACATGCTGACACAAAGATGCTGTCTGAAACACTCCTCGGTAGTGACGACCAACCCAAAGAAATCGCTGCCAAAAGGGGAAAAGAGCGATGTCCACCATGGAGATCTCCTTTCCAAGGAAATACGGCCCATCCTGCACCCAGCACGAAAGCAGGCTACGCGCGCGAAATGGACACGTCGATTCTGCTTGTGCTGAAGGTTATATCGCAAGCAACTTACTGAACTGGTCATATCGTTCTGTCTTCCCAAATCGGACTCGTCGCAACAACAAGCAGTTGCAAACGTTGCAGCAGCCATCGTCCAAACACTCGACATGACCCTGTTGGGTTTTCCACAAGCTTTGCGAACCAACAAACCATCCGGCCACCTGCCTTGCTCATTGCTCTGGCGAAGGTTCGACATTCCTGCGGAGAAACAATGAAAGAAACCCAGCGGGAGGGTTTGCAGCAACAACTTGGCAGTCAAGATGGCAAGGCTGTGGGACAAATGGCTGACAAATCTGATTTGGTCAAAACCATTGGTGAAACAAACGAGCTGCATGTCTTCATGAAACATACATGTCTTGGAGTCTTTGAGCTCGCACTTGGAAGCCAAATAGGCCTTCCTAGGTGGAAGGACCTGGAAAACGCTCCTGGAAAAAGACATCCTTTGCTTTTGCCTGGGCCGCTGGGTCTTGATCCATCAAGTGCACGTAGAAATTCCTCAATGAAAGCCCGGAGAGGTAAGATCGTGTTTGCGTGCGATGGAAGATGCGTGTGGGGAACTTGACAAATCTCACCGAGATCGCCTACTGTAAAGTAAATTGGTGACAAACATACTGGCACGCTGCTTCTTGCCATCAGCCCAAGTATCCTTTGCATCTTCTCAGTCACAAAGTCAGACCATATCCGCACATGAGCTCGCTTGACTGGGTCATTGCGAGGCAAAAAGTAGGGAGGATGATCAAAGCGTTCGTCGATGTACCTGAACAAATTGGCAAACAAAGGAATACAGTTCCTCTGGCAATGAGACCTTGCACTGCCTTTGAGGCTCAACTGCGACTTTGGACCATGCCTTCATAAAACTGTTCTTAGACAGGGCTGGCAATATTTTTGCAATAGCTGAAGCTCAAACAAGTTTCAGCCATGCGAAAAGACACGTACGTGGATGTTTTAATTTGAACTCCATGATCATAATCCTTTCAACAACTCATCTGCTAGAGTTTTTGGCTGTGCAGGGTTCCCAATTTTGAGACAAACCCAATCCAAAACATATACTAGATGATTATGATGATTATCCAGTTATAAATGTATAATTGTATAATCCTATTACCAGTAACAGTGGATGATGATGGTTACTAGGCCTTGTTCAAAAATAGTTGCAATTATATAATTGTTTACTGACTGTTACAGGTAATAGGACAGGCCCAAACTATACATACCATGTATCTAATCTTGATTCCCAACTCATCACATCTGGGTCACTGGACCACATGGAGGGACTCCCAGACCTTGTCGCCGTTGCAGTCCACCGAGGGGACCAAGCCGCGCGGACTGCTGGCGATGAAGTCCGGGTACATGGCCTGCATCAGGCACCAAGTTTCGGCATCAAACTATGATGGAAACTGTGAAAGCGGTGTCACTGTCACAAATAATGGGATGCCAACATACATGATACTAGACTTATGTAATTAATGCACACCAGTCAATCAAGCACCACAAGGCATCACAGTCTGAAAGATCCATCTTTCGCCTTTCACCGTTGAATTCTTGATACCCACACGTACCCACATAACCGTTACCTACATAACCATTTGACTCTGTGCACCAAGCCAAACAATCAAGCAACAACTTGGGACAGAAAAAGGCACCCAAACTTTAAAGCAATTGGTGTAGACATGTGGGGACCTTCGATCAGCCGGGAGGATGGCCATATTGAGGTCCATGCTGACTGGCGAAGCTTTGTGGACGAAACTGCCACAAAACAACCTACACGAAGTGCCGAGTGCCTTCTTGACCTCCAAGGGGAGCTGCTTCTTTGTGTAGCCTCCTGCTGGCCGTTTGTGGCGTTGAACCAAATTTTATGAAGCGCTGCTCTATCCGTACAGTCAAATCGAGGCTGAGTGAAACTCAGGAGCACTTGGAGGTGATGACATCAGGACACGGGTGCACCCCTGATTTGCAATCTCTAGAGTCTCTAGAGGCTACCCCCCTACAAACCGCATCTTCCATACTTGCTGCCTGTAGTCAGTGTACTTCACCGCGAGGTGCCAATGCCAACTAAGTGTATAATCAAGATTCCTTGCATTCCTCAAGAAACCCTTTTGGAAGCCGCTTGCATTTCTGGCATGAAACACATGTACTGTTCTGTTTGAATGAACACACAATGACTCCCACATCATGCTACGAATATCATGGAGTCCATGGTTGCATCCGCACTTATGGGGGCCTTGATGGACAAGCATCCTGATTGCCCTGCGGACTTTTTCCAGTGTCGCCAGGCGCTTCGTCCTGCAAGACTATGACGAAAATTGGCCACTCTATTGATGGCCACTCGCTAAGAAGTGAACTCTTGAACCTCACAGACTGACCATTCAACATCTGGATGTAGGACTTGTGATACCTAGGCTTAGCTATAGCTATGCACACCCATTAAAATCCTCCCACGGTATCCCATGTGGCTAGTCTGCAAGATTCGCTTTCTGGGACGGGAGTTCTCTACGCCTTGCTTCTCGCAGGTCCAACGATCCTCGACGTCGATCCTCTGAGCAACTCCGGCGGTTGATCCGGGCCTACGCTCTCATCGTTTGTGAGGGTCGAAGTCCCCACGGATCTGGTGCTCGATGCTGCCTGCACAACATTTGACACCTAAGGCCGCCTACGGCCGACCTCTGAAACATTCTGGAAGTCCGTCTGTCGCATATTTCTAAGAGGTTGTCTGCATTCTTCACGCTGCGCTGCAACATCGTTTGAAGATACAACAAACAAACCGTGCAACAAACGCACACTTCAACTATATTGACTATATAAGCAATACACAAAACATCACAAAACATCACAAAACCATGAACAGCTCTGTGCCATTCGATCTCAGCAGCAGTGATAGGCCAGCTCAATAATGGTTCCCTGCCCGCCGCATGCGGAGGGCCAAACAATCACACCTCGCTGGTTGACACTGCAACCAAGTCGAGCACTTTGCTGAGAAAGAATGAGAAATCTATCGGTTCAATTTCTGTTGATGGTATTCAATGGTATAGGAAGAAGAATCCCAGATCATATGGGGCAACTTTGGCAATCACCTCAGTATCTCCAGTGTCTTGAATCCAACCTGGCACAGATTAGCACAGGATTGTGCGACACAAAGTATCGCTGGATGTGTCTCGTCAAATCGGCGAAAAGGCCTCTCTGGAGCAAACAGTCGGGGCAATAAGTGGGGCTGGCGCTAAGGATGACACTTGCATGGTCAATGCTTCCTTTCTCCTTGGATGTGTGGAGAGAAATGACCAACCATGCAGGTCTGTCTGTTCTTCATGAAGAAACTTCTGAAGATGAGGAAATCAACAAGTCCAACAAGCCAAAAGAAAGAACATGAAAGGAAAGGACAGGAACAGGAAGGAAGGAAGGTCAAAGAACAACACACAAAAAGAGAACACATAAAGCCACGAGCCTATGCACACAAAGACAGTCAAAAATGAACTTCTAACCTCTTCGATCCTTCTCGTCACTGCTACACCTGTATCCAAACCCGCTTTGGAGGTCTCTCTCCACATCCAGGCCCTTCACCAAGGGTCCATGGCCAGGCTGAAGACGTCCGGAAAGCCTGAAGCAAACATGGCAGAGCCATGGCAGGGGAGGTGTCCATGATGCCAGCCACTCTTGCCACAAGTCATCTTTTCCTCAGAGTGAGCGTGAAGTAGATTACGAAATCGTTTGGTACGTCCTGCCTGCCACTTCTTTGGATGATGTTAGATGATGTGATGGTGAATGTCACAAAACAAGGAGTGTCCTTTCTGCGGAAAGAGCTTCCACCTTGCTTTTCAGGTCCGTGGCGTACTTGCCCTGGTAGTGAAAGAAGTGAATGTGGAACCTCAGCATTGCAATGAGGGGCGACGATGTCCGTCCAATTAAGCAGCAAGTTACAGGGCGGTCAAGATTGAACAATACGGACTGCAGATTTTGGTGGTTTTTGCACGAATTTGAGAAGGCAAACGAAATGCATATCCCTTCCTTCTAGTGTAGAATCGAACTCTCCAATTTGTCTTCTATCTCCAGAGTTCGGTGATTGGTCTTCTCATAGGGTCAATCTGCGGGTGCAAACAATTGCCTGCGATTCTCTCCGTGCGGATGAGTATGAGATTGAACACGAAAGAACTGTCTTTGCCTCATGTCTTGGATCTGACTGATTACTTGATCTTCCAAACATATTGCAATTGCATTGCAAGACAGGAAATCAACATCTTGAAGATTCTTGAAGCCATTCTTAAGTTGAGTACCAAACTCCATGAATTGGACGCCCATAAGAGTAGGCTAACAGTTAGTTGGAGTCCAAAAGCAAACACTAAAGAAAGCATTCGTGTCTGTTGAATCGAAGGAGTGACCAGGGGTCTCCAAGATCGAACCAATGCATCCAAGACAGGAGTAAGATCCTTATCCCCGAAGTCCATGGGCGTGACTCATCAGTCCAGTTTGGGTGTCACTGACTAAGGCGAGGAGGTGACTGTCTTCAGTCCATGAAAAACATCTCCTGTCCATCGGAGACTGCTGTTTTCCTGTTGTCCAACCAGTAGCTTCTTGTTATTAGTAGTACTGCCCTTGTTACTAGTAGCGATGCACCTGCTACTAGTAGCTTCTTGTTATCTGAGCCCAGTGACTGTTCCACTGTCCGATGATGCATCGGATTGACGATCAGCGCACAATTGGCGTCGCCACAGCGCCCTTGGGCGGCCCGCATGCCGGCATCGTAGTAGCCCACATCCTCCTCGGTGATATCCTGCTGGGCAACATGTTGAGAAGCTGAGCTGAGAGGTTTCTCAAATAGCACATAAGTATTTGAGTAATTGCATCTAGTCAACCTAGTATGTCAAACTTAAGCTTTCTTGCAGAATATCACAACATGCAGAAAGAACCATAGACACGCACACACACATATATCTATATCTACATATATATATAATATATAGAAAACACACATATATATATATATAGCACAAATAGCTCCAATGAAACCAACCAAACGACTGCACAGTAGCAACATTACTTGCACTCAGTGCGCCATGATGTGGCAGTTTCAGGCACGAATTTGCTCGAACACATCTCAAACCATTCTTATTCTTCGCGTTGATCTGGACGAGCAACAGGAAAGACCTCTCCAATCCACCCTGAAACCTTCTCCAGTCGCAAGATGAAACTTGACTCCAAACATCTCCAAACTTTTTTGTCAAAGTCTACCCGCTACTAGGAACAAGAAACTACTAGGGGTTCCTGGCATCGCTACTAGGAGCAAGGACGCTACTAGAGGCTCCTGGCCTTACTACTAGGAACAAGAAGCTACTAGGAGCTTTTTCGCGCGCCTTGTGCCTACTTCATTAAGTTAAGGCTACTAGCAATAGGAAGCTACTACATATGGACGGAGGATAGATCACGCTTCTTCAAAGAAGCTCCCCCCAGTCAGCACTAATGATTTGGTTCCTAGATTTTTAGGAGACTGAACTGCTCTTTCACTGAAAGCTGGTGCAAGTGTTTACAATACCTGGCCCCAAGCTGAAGCTCCGTTCAACTTCAGTCCTCCAAACCATGGCCAGATCCCCACAGCTTATCACCTCCAGGCCACCATCCACGCCCTTCCAAGTCTGGTTCATCCTCACCCTCTGCCTGGGCATCTGCGGCTGCCGCAGCCGCCTCAGCCTTGACGTCCAAGGGACCCAGTGAAGCGAGACCTGCCTCGAGATCCGCCTCTTCCGGGTCGCTCGATCGGCGAGACCCACGCGTCTGCAAGGCGTTCAGCACACAGTGATCCGGTCGACCCGCCGCGTCGCTGCCGTCGCGGCAGTCGTCGGCCTCCTGGGCAGTCTTGATCGACAAGTCATGAGAGGTCCCTGAGCTGGCTGATTAGCTGATGAATTCTAATTCATATAGATGTATATAGCTGGTTGGCGTGAGTTCACACTCATGAATCACGCGAATGAATATGAACGAATTGCTTGCGCCTTCATCCACCATTTTGTGACAGCTTACCAGATCAGGTGAACAAAAAACAACCCGCCGGAAAGCTAACGCAAAGCCCCATGCATTTCACAACAGGATGAAGGAATTGAGTGCGGTAAATGTCCATACGTTTGAGCTGAAGGGTAGCCTGAGTGTGTTTCATCAAATGCACTGCGCTTAATGGGACAAAGAATATATTCTTTTGCGTTATGGTGTTCGGTTTTTACGCAGCATGCATTGCGCCATAACAACGGCCGGGCAACACTCGCACCTTTGTTCTGCGTACGACTTCAGAGTCTCAACTGTTGCTTCGAGAGCTCTTTGGCGCAACATTCAAACATATTCTCAAGAAGAGACACTTGGACGCGCAAAGCTAGGAATTGCACACATTAATGACATGATTACCACTATGCGTTCAGTTTCCGACCCGGTGGCAAAAACAACTGTCTAGCTCCAAACCTGCCTGGCAATATATCCGAGTGGCTGAACAGAAATGCAATAGAATCAAACAAATCATGACAAATCAACCGTGGTGGAAAGCATCAAACCATGAGTTTGAGACCAGCTGCGAGGGCCAGTTCAACATCGTCTGCAGCCACTAAGGCCGCCAGCAAAACTATTCGCCACATGGCCATGGCACGACAAGAGAGCGCCAAAACAAAGTGGCTACAAAGACCGCCACACACAGATCCGCAATGATCTGCATCAAATGGAATGGAAGTCAAACGCCTCTGAAACACTCCCCAGGATGTAACTAACCTCTTGTTGGTCCTTTTCCCGGTTTGAACATATCCTGACTCACACCCAGAACCAATCAAATAAAGCATCCCTTCAAACAGCCAAATGGGATGTTGGTCTTGGGTTCCACCAAGGTGACCTGGAGCTGGTCCTTTTGGTTGGCCAAAGTCGACATGTCAAGCCTGGAAGTCGATCATCCACCTCATAGGGGTTGATCTCAACATAGGAGTAGTCCAGTTGCTTTTCCTCAGCGAAGGCCGCAAAGAGGTGCAGGAATTTCCCTGATCTCTGCCGTACCGATGGACAACATTTCTGGGTCAATGTTGCAGCACACTTTCCAAGAAAAGGCTAATTCAGTTGTTTGATCTCTGAAGCTTGAGGACGCGCAGCATGCAAGTGATTCACTCCAACATCCAGCTTTGCTATGAGTATAAACTTGCACATGACATGGTGCTGCTCTGATAGCTGACAAGTGCCAAGTCAGAGCCAGTTTCCGGGACATCTCTGTACTGAACAAATTAACTATGTGGCCTTGAATAAGCTCTTCAGCGCTATTCAGCATGTATAGAACAAGCAGCAAACACATACGTTTGGTGTCCTGAGCTCTCTTATGGCAAGGCTCTTCCACAGCAATCCACGCTCGTTGCGCAAAGGGGCAAAACCAGGACGTGTAAAGCTTCAATGGCAAATCCTGCGGGCATGCGGAAGTGTTGCTGACCCACAGCGATGGGCTCTTCCACGTGTGATCACAGTTAGCTAGAAGCAGCTAGAATCCGGATAATTAGATCAGGTGCGCAGCTGCCACGTTGCCACGTTGAGTAACTTCACAGGAAATCACGCAAAGGTACACCGAGAGCAAATTTGAGATCAAGCTCCAAGTCTCATGGATAACCGGGAAGACGCTCACGTTTTCGGGTCCATCCTTCGGGGCGGCCACGCGCTTGGCAATCGTCCTCTCCTTCGTCCAACAAACTGCGTCTTCAACCACAGTGGTCTGGCTGCTCTCTGGACAGTTGTACTAGAATGGAGAGCATGTTTTGACATTTCTGCAATTCCAAGGATTCCCAAGGCAATGAATCAATCAGAGATCCTAAAGATTTAGCCACCTGAGCTACCTGTGTTCCTGGATGGCGTCTTGCTGCCAAGAATCTCCATGGGTTTCCACCCAGCTGGGATCCCACAGTGCATCACGGCTGGTTTGCGCAGCCTGGCACAGCTGACTAATAATGTCACCATGGAAAATCCTTTTCGAGCACAGTGTGACATGTGCAGGCAAAATGGTCTTGCTCTAGTCAATGTCTTGAATTCGATATTTTCCCTCAACTTTCTTTCGATGCACTCTTCACTGCTTCAGTTCTGAACCGATGGAGGTGTTGATTTTGTTTTGTGCACCTAGGTGATTCCTTGCCGAAGCCGTGACAAAAAGGGAGAATGGACAGGAAAAGGTTTGAGGTTTCGACCTGCAACCAAGGCCTTGACGTTCTCTGCAACAAGACTGGCTCCTGGAGTCTGGGCATCCCAGTAACGTGGAAAGCAATGAGAGCAAATGTAGATGTGGCCCATGTGGCATGCCTCAAGCTACTGAGAACTTTGACATGGCATGTTCAAAGTTAGAAAAGGGTGGAAAGGGTAATTGAGATGTGAGCTGACAGGGCGACTTCATGTCGAACTTTTGGATGTTTTGTGTTTTTGTGCTTAGCAAGTGACCCCTTGCGCCTTGGAAGGACAAGCCGACAGCTCCCAGGGCCACTGGTGCCACACTTTTAGCCTGACACTGCGGCACCAAAAAGTACCCAGCAATCCACTCCCACTTCACCAACTCCTCAACTTAATAATACATGCGTCTCTGTTTGAGTGTAGATGCACATAGGAGGACATAGCCCGCGTTTCACCCATCAGCCCATCAAATGTATATATGCACTATGTGTGTTGAGACGAATCTATCGTGACACGTCATCGAGGTGTGAGCTCCGTCATCGATGCAACACGACGTCAGTCGGAACAACCCCGGGACGCTTCAGGACGCTTCAGGACGTGCCGATTCACGTGCCGATTCATCGAACAGGAGGAACACGACGCTCATCTGGGGCCAAACCGGTCATCTGGGGCCATTCCTCGACCCGTCAAGGCCCGACCCGTCCTTCCGGAAAGCTGCATGCATTCTTCGCTTAAACAAGCACCAAATGACTTATGCTACCGTATACTACGCTTGTGTAGCTATGCTCAGTGTTCCTGTCCCACATACACAAGGGCAACATCACTTAGATACTTAGATTGTAATAAGGTTCTGACACAAACTGACGTGGAATATCATTGGAAACCATGCTTATCCCATCTTATCCCTGGTTTTGCGACATAGTCCTTGAAGGTTTTGTTGACATGGTCTGTGTCCTGAATTGGCAGCATGTTTTTGTCTTCCCCACTCTGGTGGTCTGATCCAAAGGGCTTGGTCGAAAAAAACCATCTGCCTCTGGTTGCACGGTCTGCTATTCTTCCAGCTACAAGAAGACCTAACACTTTAGAGAATGCTCAAACAAATGTGGCACTGGCATTCTTAAACCCCCCATTCTCGTGTCCACCCGCCATCTGATGCAATGTACGAGATCCCCAAATGCATAGACAATCCCTTGTTCCCCGTATTTCCTGATGCAACCTGACCACTGGAAAAGAACATCATGCCATGCTCTAGAATGTCTTGGCACTTCCTGATGCTTGGTGCATCTTGGTACCACAGCGGTGGATGGCTTGTTGGCCATCAATCAGGCCTCAGGTGATTCTGGAAGCGTCATCTATACAAACTTAGAAAGAGATTCAACAAATGTCATGATTGCAATGATTGCAATACGTTGTTTCAAACACCAGTCCCTTTCGAAACATGAGGGCCGTCTTCTTGCTGTCTTGCAGAACTTGTGCCCTGTTTTGCTTGAAGGCCAAGGTTTTTTTAAAACATCCAATCCCTGATGCCCAAACACAGAAAGTCAGCTCCGGGCGCACTGCGAGCAATCCTTTTTCTTTTTGAAAAGTAGTATATCCTCCCACCCAAGTTAGTTTGCATGGATCCTTGTTTGGTCTTTAAACATATATTTTTTAGTTTGCGAAATCCGATCCATGCAGCTGGGGATGGAAGGGTATGTGCTAAATCAAGTCAAGCTATGTCAAACCTACCTGGCTCACATTCTGTGCCGATGTGGAGTGCCAAAACTTCGCGAGCATTGCACTTGCCCAAGAACGCTGAATGCATTGGGCAAAATTACCGATGCACCGACTGAGTTCCAAATTATGAGGAGCCAAGCTTGGGCGTTCCGCGCGTTCCCCCTTCCAACAGCCAGCATACAAGCTGTACAAGTACAGGAAAAATTCGATTTCCCTGGGCTCCTTTTCTAGCCTTTCAGCCTCCCCTGGGACGCTTCAAGCCGAGATCGTTTCTAGGGGTGGTTGACTGCAGGATTGCAGTGGGTAGCAAAAGTGGGCCAAAATGCAAGTAGCACAATCGGCTTCTAGTCTGGGATTCTTCAGCCAACTTCAAGGGAGCTTTGTGTTGTTTGGACATATTTGGACAATGTGTGATCTATATACAGTAGATCTTGACACAGTTTCTCGGTACACCAAGCATCTCCAAGGATTTGCAGGCCATCTCGCGCAAGCTCCCGCGGGCTGGACACCACCGGCCAGCAAAAACTGTGCACTTTGGACTTTTTACTTCAGGGTCCAAGTTATGCAAAACGTTGTACAGCAAAACGTCAAGGGGACCCTCCAAGTCTTCAGAAGCACTAGCTACTGTTTAGGAATCCTGCCCCCTCTTGAAACAAAGCAACTTTATATGGTAAGGGCTCTGAGCAATCACCATGATACTCCGTGTCACTGGACGATTTGAATTGTTAGTATGATGCGACCTCACTTGTTCACTACGCAGATTCCCTCTCTCAATCGACTTACGATCACGGGAAAGACCTCTTCAAACATTGACAACGACTTTGGAGTTCAGAGGGGATATAAACATACAGTATGTCCAAAAGTTGCTTTGATGTGTTACCCCCTTCGAGAGTGTTGCGCTGGGACAAGATTCCAGAAGCGACGTGTTCAGTGCGGGTAGTATTATTGTGCAGGACAACTGTTCTCTTTTGATAAACCTGGGTTCTCTGGCCATGACAAATTGGGCAAATGGCATGCAGACCGGCGGGCTCCTTTTCGGGTACCCAAAAGCAAGAGATGCCCCCCACAGCGCAACTTGATCGTTCTCAATCCTCTGCGGGGGGGCATCCTGGTTCTTGTTGATCTGCTTAAAAGTATCCTTTCCACATGATCCAGCAGTGAAAGGACAAAACATGGTGTCAGTTGTCTGACATTCTGGCAGAACCAATAACAGCTGCACATGGTAAGACTCTTGAATTGCCTCTCGCACAGAGCAGCCAACCTTTGCCGATCTTTTCTCTTGCAGTATGCAAATGAACATCCTTGTTGGCCCATGCCTCACTGCTCCATTTCGTCCTCTGAAGCCCGTTAACGGGAGGGTGGTCATCGGCCCTGACTGCTCTATACTTCGCACCTACTGATCTGGCTGTGCATCCATAGGGAGGCAATTGAGCAATGCTGTAGAATCTGCCTGGTGCTGGAAAATAAATTAGCAGTTACTTGAAGTCTCATAATGACATGTCTCTATGCATCCCAAAGTTATAGGAATCAAATATCCTTCAACCAGGTCCGTTCTTGGCATTGCCAATGCCAGGCCTCTCCAGAAAAGCTGCAACTTGTGCTATGACACCACCAGGACTGCACCTGCTCTCCTATAACGTGTGACATTCTCCAGTGTTGTCACTGTCCCAACACCACCCCGCCGCCAACACCCAATGGGGCAATATATATTTGCAAAGCCACACACTACCTTGTTTTTTGGACTATATACAAGGGCATCGCTACCAGTAACAAGGGCATTACTACTAGTAGCTAGAAGCTACTAGTAACAAGGGCATCGCTACTACGTAGTAACAAGGGCATTATAAGGACAACGTCTGAATCACAAGGTTTCGCGCTTGTTTTGTCTGGGCCTTACACATCATCTACCTGGACACGTATCAGCTTGTGCATCATCTTCCATTCGAACACATCGGTCCATCGGTGAATGAAACTACTACAGTAGCTGCTAACTTGCTTCCAAGGTGGCATCGGTCTGATCGATTCCGAATTGGTGCTTTTTTCTCACGGGACGTTGCTGAACCAGTCTCCCAGCGCAGGTCTCTGCTGAGTTGAGGGCCAATCGCCCCAAGAGTTCTCAACTGTGAAGCCTTGATGTAGGATGTGACGTATTTAGGGCAAAACAAATCTGTGAAGGCCCTTGTCCATGTACTAATTTGCTCAACTAGTGAACCTAGTCGATGACAGTAGAGGAAAAACGTGAATTCCTTCTACAGATTTACCAAACACAGTTGCAATTCTTGGCAAGAAACTTTGAGATAAATTGAGGTGTTTTGTTATTTTGATTGCAAAGACTTGAAGCGCTGTGACAAATATCCGCAAAATGCAATGCAGCTGAGGTCGGCTTTGACATGGCCTGATCACTGTCCACCGATCCACCTTTCATTCCAGTCAAGGGGAATAACACCAAAAACATTGGGCCGGGCCACACCTACAAAAAGGCTATGCAAAACTGAACCATTGTCTTGCTTACCCTCCGCTGACATGGGCCTTGAACACAGAGTTTGATTCTATGCTGTAGTTGCACTGATGAGTTCCACCAAATGGTCAGCTTCTGATTCCTTCCTTTATGATGAAGCAAGTGGAACCTTGCAGCTCTGATCTCGGGTCGTCAAACAGGTCTCCAATGGACTCCCCTTACCTTTCTGGTGGACCACGATGAACAAGTGCTTAGTCCCTCCAATAGCGCCAGGTGGTCACCTGAAACGCAGCGCCACGTGCTTTGTCGACGGTTTGCCCCAGTTCTTTGGTAGCTAAACACAGTTGCCGATGTCTCTTTATCATCACGCTTGACTGGTGTTATCATACCTTTGCCATCTTTGCCCTTTCTCATCCCGACTGGTGCTTCATACTGAATACTTGTGTGGATTCATTCCCTCATTATCCCTCATGTCCTACACCTGTCAAAACTTGTTTAAAAAACATTTGGATTTCACAAAGCATCGCCAAACCTGACATCCTACAATAAACCTCACCTGTAGCTCCCTCTCTTCAAATGTCTGCTATTGTCATCAAATGCCAACAAACAAACCGATGATCAAAATTCAACTTCATCCTAGTTTTCAAGAGCATTGACAGCATTGACCAAAGATTTATTCAGAAAACATACCTCCCTATTCGGCATCTCATTTCTTGATCCATCTTGATCAAGTCGGATTCCCTCTGTTTGCCAGTTTGCCCCTTCCAGTTCGCGCGCCCGGCGCCCCCCCGTGCGTTCGGCCGGCCTCGGCACCCTTTCCCCGTCCACCGGGCTCGTCCATGAGGGCCACGCCGCGAGAGTGCAAGAGCTGCGACGGCACCGAACGGGCACCGAGGTGCTTCGAAAAGGCGATCTTTTCTGGACACTGAAAGAATGTTTTCTTTAATTTGTGCATTAGTAATGCATTTGCATTATTCCTTTTCTGTAGAAGAAGCTTTCACAAGAGCCACCACGAGTCTGTGAAGATCTTCGGCCACAAGGGGTCCCCTGAACATCCCTGAGCTTGTAGTCAAAAAGGTACAGTGCACAACGTGACACACACACGCAGGACACAAGTACGTACGGTCTGATTGCGGTTTGCCACACGCCGACCTAGGTAAGTAGTAAGATGCCCAAGAAAAAGCCAAGTAGAGTTCAAAGTGACAAGCTCCAAATGAGGGCGACAAGTACATGTCTGCAGACTCAAAGCAGTACAAAGGCCGAGGCCAGAATATTGTTCTAGTCACAAAGGGGCCCAGAAGGAAGTAAGTGGCAAGTAATCACAGCAGGTACGTGATCAGGCGTCCCTGATGATATCCTAGAAGCATATGAGGAGCTTCGTTGGATGGAGCCTCATACGTCCTCTCCATCCCCTGCAAGTAACAACTAACCAAAAAACAAAAGGGAGCCTGTGACTCCAAGGTGTACACACACAACTCCTCACAACTCAAGATGACTCATGCCTATCTGTATACATGTAATTACTGAGAAGTTAAGTCTCCCTGAAGGGGTCCCATTGTGAAACTTCTCACCCACCCGGCCGCATCCGGCCGCCGCCCGCTCCGCACCTGGCGGATCCGATCGGCCTCCGGGAAGTTGTTGGCCCTGCGCGCCTGGCCGCAGCGTTTTCAAACGCCGCATCTGGTTGGTCACCGGAGTCTGGAATTGTCAGGTTGGTTCATCTTAGCCGTTGAGATGTAGGCACAACCTCCTATATATCTCAAAATGCAAGCTGAAACAGGTGCAGGGGAGGTAAGGTGTTTCTTCAGCTACAACGGCTCTGGAGCACAGAATATTTGTGGTTCATCGAAATTTGCTCTTCCTTCGTAGATCTACTCTATCCTTCCTTGTGAATGAAGACCCAACAGTTCTACTACTCCACACTCCCAACCAGCCCAAAAATGAAGAACTCAGCTCATCTGGCTAAAAGCTTGATATGTTTGTGTTCTAATTTGGGTAACCTGGGCCAATTGTCGAATTCGGTGTTGGGTGTGAAATGTGGAGATTGATCAATGACGGGAACGGCACACATTCTCATTGATTGGTCAATGTCACAAGGACAACGGTGCTGCAGCATACCGGATGGACCATTGGTGACAGCTCTTGTAGCGCTCATTGATGCACCTCATTGCGCTCATCGATGAGTTTCTCAATCTCCTGTTGATCACGCAGATTTCGCACCGGAGGAATATCTGAGATCATCTGATTTCGCAAAACCAGCCAACGGTTCAACTATTCTGATCCAACATGATTCTTCAAAATAATGGGGACCGGGTCACGACACACTGGTGGTGTGGATGTACTGCTTCAGTGCACTCCACATCTAGTGACAAATGATTGCTTGATTATCATAAGACATTGGAATGATGAGGAAACCAAACATGTGATACTAGAAAACTACAAGAAGAAGCTGACCCACCCGAAGGAAAGTTTCTTTGCTGGTAACTTCCTTTCAAGGGCCATCGGTAACATCATGGCAGACTGGGGAACACCTGGGTCTCAATGCTGTCCTGCACTGGAGGCGCATTAGGTCCAGGCCTCGAGAAAGGCGGATGAAAACGGTGGAAACATCACGACCAATCAGGTGCCACCAGAAAATCAAAGGTTGACTGAGACGGCTGTGATGATTGAAGAAGCCTCAATTAGAACACAAACCAGCGTGGATCCTGTGAGGATCTCAGGCTCCGAAATGCCCAGACAGGCCTTGTCAACGTGCATTGTCATGGGATCACTTCCATCTTCTTTCACCACTAAGCAAGAACAGTAAGAACAGTTAATTAGATGTTTTATGATACATCCGTAAAACAACTGCTGAAGGCAGTACATATATTAATATATTAATGTATAATATCTTAATAGCTTTTTTGTTACTACTAGTAAGGCACCTGTTACTACTAGCGTGGCACTTGTTACTAGCGATGCACTTGTTTATACTTTGTCTTTAGATTCGATGCCCGTCTTCGGTCCCTCGGACTCGGTCTCTCCAGGCATCCCCGACTCCCCGCGGTCGATGTTACCGTCCTGGCTCTTCACCGGCTCCCTGAGTGCTTCGGACGGCGGAGCGCCCCGGGGACTTGACAGAAACACGGGCCAAATGTATCAACACATATCAACATATTCTGATTCACCGCAGGAGCTCTGAATGCTCTGATTTGTAAAGAGTTGAGGTTTGTTCACTAGTAAGGTGAGCTGCTGAAGGCACGGTCTGATCTGGGTGTGCAGGTGTCTAGAGTCGAAAATGGTCGAAGTGTCCGGGCTGTGGAGATTCCGGTGGCTACTAGGAACAAGAAGCTACTAGAGGCTCCTGGCATCGCTACTAGGAGCAAGGATGCTACTAGAGGCTCCTGGCATCGCTACTAGGAGCAAGGATGCTACTAGGGGCTCCTGGCCTTACTACTAGGAACAAGAAGCTACTAGGGGAGATCCCCGGGTGTCGAGACTTTCTTTCGGAAAACGATGGCCCAACGAGGGTTGAGATGTTGGAGCCTCGTGTGGCATGCCTCGTGTGCAACGTCCAGAAAAGGAGGCTACGCGGCTACCCTGTGGATATGGAGTACCTAGGACCCATGGTGAAAGGCTAGCTGAGTAACTGGCAGTGCAAGAGGACCCTACAGGTTAAACCAAAATGATCCAAAATGTTTGAGGCAAAGCCGAAAGCTGCAGCTGGTAAACACCGGATGTGATCTCCTGGTGCATCCTGACATGACCTGTATATTAAGAAACACTGAGGACATGCAGGGGGCGTTGCGGGATCCGTATGAAGCCAACTTGCAACCTTCCCTTTAGAGAAGTTGGGAGAAATAGGCTACTCAACTCAAAGGCCAAGTGGGTTAAATGTACATCCGGATGATCAACCCTGTACTTTCTGCTCTACTGAATCAGTATCCTCAAGGAGTTACAATACTTAACCCCCACTTGCATGTTGAAAGGGCTTCCTCCTGTTGGACAACTCCCAGAAGCAATTGGATCCATGGATCCTTGACTGGTTCAGTCAGTCTTGTCTTGGCACATTCTGAGGCCATCTCTTGGCAGATCGTGACTTTCCCTTTCGCTTGTCTTTTCCATCACCTTCCCATGGTGACATATGGGCTGGGCGGCCTTGCATTGCTACAAGCTCTTTGATTTTTTGCTATAGTATCTTATCAAACTTACTCTTGCAGTTGGTCTTGCCTTCTTTGGGGCATGTGATATGATGTCATAGACAGTTGTTCATCGAATCGGCAGAAACACATGATTTGAGAACATCAGCTTCTACGAATTCGACAGTGCGCTGATGCACGCCGCACTTTGGAATGTCAATAATGCTGATCCACGATCTGCAATGCAATGCCTTCGTCATCATCTAGGCCCATGCCCCCTGTGAAGGGCGCTTTCGAGTTATACCTTGGCTGGCTGAACAGAAAGGGAAGTGCTTTCGGTCCAAACGGAACGGGATCACAATCCAGGTTCCATGCAGGGACCAAAGTGTGAAAAGAAGCTTAGCACACTTGGATTATATATAATATAGGCGTCCAATTTTCGCGAGCCCGGCCTCGTTTCTTTTTCCAAAGTCTACATGGCATTACTTGGACCAAACATGACCAAACAATCTTCTACTCAGAGTCCAAATCGTTGCCCAACTGGACGCCAGCCAAAGGACACGAGTTGGTTCTCCGTCAAGTTGATCTGCAGATCTGGGACTGACTTTCCATTCTCCCTGCAGAACTGCCTGTACTCCTCATACCTTCGATTAGCTGCGTGTAGCAAATGAACAAGGTTTAGAGATATTGAGCAATGCGCTGCAAAGCCTTGCAAAACGTACAGGAAGCATTGGATGATGCATCAAAGAAGCACATGAGCCTGGATCAACTCAAAAAAGTAGTCTAAAGCTACTAGTATTGATGGACAGCACTAGGATCCAATAGTATAGTAATGGAATCGCGAGAGAAGTTGTACTTGGGGCCTAAGTGCTGGAGAGTACAGTGCCAATTAAGCTGTCTGCTTTGTGGTAGTGGATTTTATTGTCTTACTGCCAGCCAACTCTTCAACTCTTGAGCACATGCTGAAAAACACCAGAGGATACTGGAGGAAAGGATTGGTGGAAGATGTGCCGCCACCGGATTGGCGCACACGCGGTTCAATAGCTCTTCAACACCACGCACCTCAAGGGTTGTGGTGATGATCGGCTGGGCACGACACCCGACCAGGCCAGCCGCAGCTGTTGCCGGTTTAAGGCTCGTAGCTGTTGCTGTCACGGATTGATACCAGGTTTCCATTGTCACATGGTCTTTGGAACATCGAACAAACTCTTGGAAAGACCATGGTTTCTCCTGCTCCCCTCCCGCCCTTCCCCATGAAAACACCAGAAACAGGAACATGACAACAGCTCCGGAAAGCATGGTCTTTGACATCTTTAGGTCTTGAACAAGGAACGCTGGCACCTAGATGCTAGTGATGCCATCACACCACCACACCATATACCACTCTTGGCTGAGTGCCTGTAACATCTTTGTATGACAATCGGCCAATGATCACATACAGTAACAAATAAATACAAATAACAAAGTATCATCCAAGTCCATCGAAGATCTGTTCAGATCCCATTTCGACCTTTGGCTCTGGAACTGGGTCGTCTTATGCCTCAAAACCAGGGGCACCTTGCGCCTCCGGAACGGACTCCCGACAACTCCCATCGATCCCAAAAGCTCCTCGACTCCTCGTTGGCATTCTTTGGCATGGTTCGCCTCACCGTCTTGTCCACCGTTTTTCGCTGGGTATCCCGAACTGCGGTTTTGTAGCCTTCATGGCCTCAGAAGCTCCGGATCTGTGGGAACTTGCTGAGAAAGACACCCAGGCACACATCACCACCTTCGCAAGGCATGTCGGAGAGACCTTTACCATTTCAACATGTCCGAATGCTTTCCGAATTTCCCTCGGCTATCAGCTGAGTTTGGAACTGGTGCAGGAGATGCAAAGCTGTAATGGTTCAGAGCTCTCCTTTTGTCCAGCACCCTGGCGAACACAAGACGGTCAAACAATGTCAAAACGGCGCTTCTATCTCTGAGGTCATCATGTTCGTCGTCTTGGTCCCCTGGAAGATATGGAAGATTTGGTTGCGTGAGAAACTGCCAATGGGATTTTAGTTGGTCTGAAGCCCGTGATCTGGTTGCTTTCACCCCTATGGGACCCATTACATCCCATTACTGTTCTGGAATCTAAACCCTGGGAACACTTTGCCGCTGAGCTTTGCTGAAGAACTACTTTAGCGGATGTTCACAACGTAATTTTCAGCATCCAACACACAATCGATACATTCTATCAAACACCGGGGGCATGATCTATAGGCGGCAACGCCAAGATTCATACGATTCCAAGCACCAGGTCACCCGGGCAATTCTGCACACTCCACTGAACCCAGGACGGCGGGTCTGCTTCAGCCAACTCTTTTGGTGCCTCGAAGTAGCCAGAACCCACCCCACGGAGACGCAACTTGGCTTCTGTCTGCTTCACGATGCCTTGGTCCGGTCACAAAGAACTTCCAGTTTCGATGAACCAAATCCTCAATGATCCTCTCGCCCACTTGTGAATGTGGGAATCACTCGAATCACAATGGCTGGAAAGCTGAAGGAGGTGTGCTGGAGCAACATTCAGTATCAGAACCTTGAAGGCTATGCCTCCGCACGCTTCATGTTGGTCCCTTTTGCACCAATGATACGGCGAGCCACCTGCATTTGGAACCAGAAAGGACAATTTGACTCAATGCTGGAATCCCTCGCCTCGAGCTTCCTAACACGACGCGTAAAATTTGATATGTGCACTCACAACGTTCTAATGCAACACACATGACCGTACCTGGAAATCCTTGTCATTCTCAATGCCGATGATGAAACGGCAGGTGTACCTTCCACCAGCGCACAATCCCCAACTTCAGTTGTGATGAGTGGCTTAGGCTCGGGGGTGAACCAAACTTTAGTGCTACGGAACCGCTTGTCCCTGGCATCCGCACTTCTCAAAGATCTTAACTTGGCAAATGGCTCTTTCTGACTCGATGCCAAAGCTGGCCATCAAGAGCCAACCTGCCAAAAGAATCCCACATGTCTGAGAGATAGACATGCCTGAAACACCTTGAAAAACAACAGCTTCTTCCTGGGTCACTTCTTCTGACTCTTTCCAGGAGACTTGTCGGCCTCATGTGGAAAGTCTAGTTGCACCGAATTGTGCCATTGTGTACTGGAACAAGATGCAACAACCAGCACAACAAGCCGCTCAACAAAAAATGACGTAGGACCCGAAAAGAGAAAAAGCACCCGGCACGGCAAAACTCTTGAGAAACTATGCCCGTAGCTACTACGACTGCCACGCACAAGTATCAATGGTTTCCATCCGTGCAAACCCTGATACCTTGCAAGAGTCTAACACCTGTCTACTGCTTTCGTTGGCTCTTAGCCACATCTCTGATGCCTGAGGCTCAAACACCTCCCGCTGCTGCAGCCGCATTCCCCACTGCCTGCAACCAATCAAGCGAGAGGCAGTACAGGTCAATATTTTTATTACCAGTCTTACTTGGTACTATAGTACTAGTCTAACTCGTCTTGCACAAAGAAGATGTTCTTAACCGAACCTCAGGTTCCGCGCATAGTGGAACACAAAATTGAGTGTCAAACAATAAGCTTCTAGTAGCGTCCTTGCTCCTAGTAGCGCTGCCCTTTGGTCCTAGTAGCGTCCTCTAAAAAATAAACATCACATGACTCCTCTAGGCGCCATAGTTATTGTAGCACGTTTGTGTGGCGCATCAGGGTTTGTTTGAGACAAATACACAGTCATTTGACCTTCACCTTGCGGCAAATGCAACATGAAGGTACGTCAGGTTTTTGTATGTGGGGACAGTGGGCTCATTGCAAGGCCCTTACAACACTTTGCCTTGGCTCTACTCAATTCCCTCGCAGATGCGCACCGAAGGTGGTGACCAAGATTGTCCAGCAGGCCTCAGGAATCGCTTTTCGATCTTTTTTTGTGTGGCATTGGCGGATGCGCAAGAGAACTTGAGGGCCGGATCTATTGGTATATAACCTTTGGTGCTGACACGAGATTTGAAAGAGCTGCATTTGAGGAAACTTCATGAAACTTCTGCCACACATCAAAGCTCTTTTCAGGTCAGTGCATGAAGAGTGAACCAAACTGGAAAGAAAGTAACTGCATCCCAGTCCGATGTCGTGCAGCGACGTTCATCCGTCAGTGCTGAACTCGGTGACCCCTCGGGAAGCCCCAAGCAGGAAATGGCATTCCTGGGTACCTGCTAGACGGGAGAGCGAGGCCAATTGAAGAGCAAACACAGCCCCTAGTAGCGTCCGATCGCTCCTAGTAGTAAGGCCAGGAGCCCCTAGTAGCATCCTAATGAAGCAACAGCACAGCTTTAGAGAAAATCCATTCTATTCACCTGCGCTGTTGCAACTTTGCAAACTAGTGAGTCCCCCCCGTTGCCCAAGCTCTCGGAATACCTCACGAGGGTTTGTCGTCTGCATGAATATAGGATTGCCATGTCCCTTTTGCAGTCCCCTATCATTTGCTAGGGTGTTTTGGACTTACATATGCTGAAGGAAGTTCATCATGATTCTTGATATTGATGCACATATATAGTCTCCTACAATTGTATTCCCATGTTCAAGTGGAACAACTCGGTGGTCCGCCCCAGGAAGACTGGCGCACGGGGCAGGAAGAGTTGGAGAGTTGGCCCAATTGATGCGCAAGGTACCCTCCAAACCATTGAGCACCTGAATCGGTCGCATGGTCGTCACGCGATCGCAGAACTTCCCAAGTTGTGCGCTTTCAACATCCACAGGGTTTTCGCTGCTCTTCACAGTGGCTGGTGGATGTAAGCATATTGTATGGGTTGAAGAATGTTGGGCTGGTCAAGCAATCGTTGGGTACTTGCGTGATACGGATGCTGCTGGATTTTGATCAGCTGCACCGCACCTTCCCATTCAGGTCGTTCATGGCTGACTGGCGCAAGATAGCAAGGCAACACTGAAAGCAATGTGCTATCACAAGCACAAACACAGAAAACAGCACGGGCAGTGCTCTGGGTCTATGATGCATTTGCAACCCAACACCAGGCAACTCAGTCGCTTGAATCGGTTCTTGCAGTCCTGAGCGTCCTGAAACTGCTCGAAGATGATAACAGCGCTTGCCCCAGCCTGTCAAACCACCGAAGATGAAGGGATTGCTGACCATTTCTGCATTTGGTACATGCAAAAAATAGAGATGACAATCAAGAAATCTTCCCAATCATGCAAGCATGTGAGCATGAATGTAGAGTGCCTAGATGAAAAACACATAAAACTTGATAGACTCTGATAGACTATCAATCGCGTCTAGGTATGGCTGAAAGTTGTTGTCCCATGACCATGCACTTTGGCACTTTTTACAGTACAGGAATTAAGAACTGCCAACACCCTCGCTTTCGAGCCGGATCTTTGGCCATCTCCAACCTCATCCACGCGGATTTGCTTGACACCTCCATAGCGGCTAAAGACCTTGTCAGGCATCCGGAGCATCACCAACACGTCAAACATTCTGCAGTCTCAAACAATATATACTCAATCAACATATGCGCCTATCTGCCAAAACCTCAACGCTGTCTTGTTCCTACGTTTGGAACAGGCCTTGTGCAAGTCATCCTCAGTCAGCTGATACCTACAAGGCACTGTGAAACACACCGGTCATACTCGAATCTTTGGTGCGTGACGACATTTCTCAGCAAACTTGTTGGACTACAGCTTCACGACAAACGAGAGATTGCTGCAGGGGACATTTTACACCTTCTGCCAGTAGATGTGTGATCTCACTTCACACAACAAACATCACAAAAACAAATATATATATATATATAGAATCAATATGTTTGATCACTATATAAACCGAACTTCTACGACCTGCAGCTTCTCGCCAAGGCGCTGGAATTTCATACCCTCCACAGAAACGGTGATCGCCGGCTCGGAAGGCATCGTGGGCGTGTACCTGGTGTCTTCTCCGGATCTCTAGAGGATCAACATCTCTAGCTCAGTTTCCTCCATGGGTGCAAGTGCTTCTCTCATGTTACCAAAAATGTGCCGGATAAACGATGATCTTCATGCCCTTCTACTCCTGAACATCCAAAACCTGAGGAGAACCTCATGGGACTACAACAAGCGGAGCTAAGCTAGTCCCTGTTGAAGTTGAAATGAAGGTGTTTCTCCGTTGGGCTCTCGCATGGACGGAAGTCGAAGGGTTTCTATCTCAAAAGATTGGTGAGCAATATGGCGATACATGCCATGTCGCCTCTGTGGTTCCTGGGGTAGTTTGAATCATGGCAAATCCAAAAAATAGAACAACATGGATAACTTCTGAGGACCTCCTACCACCTCCTGCTCCAAAAAACCCTTTCCATCTGCGCACGGCGCAGGGGGAAGGCCGGGAAACATGGGCCTCGGGACGCTCGACTCGGACTCGGATGTCGGAGACCGGAGGTCGCACGAAGCCATGAGGGATGAGGCCAGGGCCCAGAGCAGGAGGAAAATACCATTCATCAAAATGCATACAATATACAAATATATATACAATATATACATATATATATATATCAATCGATGTAAAATCTGTTATTTTTTCGTGCTTTTTCTCGGACAAACATGAGACAAGAAATCATTCTCATGTCATAATCAGAACACGACGATACTGTACATGCTTCTCCACAAGCATACCTTCATAGGAGTCAGAGGGTGGCTTGAGAAAGTAATATCTCTGGGGGGCTTTGGGCTTTCGCTGCCGGTAATTAGGGTGCCTAACTGTTAGGACACAATGCCCCTTGCAATTCGGCCTCCCTCTTGGACTGTCTGATTCTTTAGGAGGCCACCTGCCACCTTAAAGAATCCTCAATCCACAGTGCCCATACCAACATGTCAGCTTAAAGAATCAGGACTCTGCCAACACATACTGGGCACTGGCCCTAAAAAAATCAGAACACGTTGAGCACAGTGCGCACACACCTGTGACACCCGGACTCCCGCTAAAGAATCAGAACACCTGGTAACAGTCCATGATGACAACAGCACACAACCAGCACCTCTAAAGAATCACACTCCGTTGCCACTCTAAAAAATGCATGGTGAACTCTAAAGAATGGCCTGCTTTTTGACAACCCGGGTTGGCTGATTTCCTAGAGGAAATTGCAAGGGGGATAGGACACAAACGTTTGTACCATTTTGTACCTCATAATTTGTCAACCAGTCAAGGCCGGCCTTGATGGAGAGTGGTGACTTCTTTTGATATCCAAGCCAACACCCCAGACTCCCCCAGACATCTCAGCTCCGCTGGGAGGCCAACGGCGCTGGGAAGTTGGCTTGCTGCTGAAGACCTTGTTGGATGTACCTGTTGAGGTGATGTTTTTGACCCCCCCTTTTATTTATAGGGGTAGGCCGCTAGGAGGTAGCTAGGTAGCTAGAGGTAGCTAGTAGCAGCTAGGTAGCTACTAGTTACTAGCAAGGACGGAGGATAGCTCGTGCTTCTTCAAGGAAGCTCCGGCGCCCTAAAGGCGGCAGGGGAAGCTTCCTTGAAGAAGCGCTCTCGCACTAATGATTTGGTTCCTAGTAGCGATGCCAGGAGCCCCTAGTAGCTTCTAGCCCCATTAGGTTGGAGGCCATTGGGCACTGACATGCTTGTTCGCATTGGCACTGAGGAATGACACAATTCTCGAGCGTGGGCCCATTGGGCACTGCACCATCTGCATGTATGCTTGAGCCATTGCAGGGTCAAAGTGAGGTGGTGGTACCGCCTGAAAAAAATGATCCAACTTGCTGCACTGATCCGTTGAACTGTCAGTAAGACGAAACCACAAGACAACACTTGGGGGTCAACACCTTCTACATCCTCTATGTCACCAACAAAGGCCAAACAAAGTGTCTGAATCGGGAAGTCCTTCTGCGACTAAAAAGAAGTTTAAGAAGGATGCGGCCAGCTTTATTTGGCCTTGAACTTCTAACCCTTACTTATCTATGCGTCTTCCTTTCCATGTTCCAGATTTTCAGCGTTGGCACTGTCGGACTTCTCTGACTGCAAATCAACAGCATTTGCGGAAAAAGCCTTGTTCAGCTTTCCCAAACCCGCCCAGTCAAGCATAGACTAAATGTCTAATACATCTCGAAAGCAATCTGAGCCATGAACCGGCATGGTTGAGGCGTCCCCTGGAGATGTAGCGCCAAGCATCGCCTGGAGGTGTCGCAGTTTCAAGGAGGGCGCCGGAACCATGCGGAAACGGGTGCGGCTTACGGCTTACGCACGGAACCGATTGAGGGCCTCGCCTGCATGGCTGCTGGGTCTGGCATGCCGGGATAGTTCGCTGCCTTGCTGAAATCGGCTCAGCCACGAGGCCAGATGGGGGGTGCATGGCCACGAGTGGAAAGGGTCCGCGAAGCGCTCTGAGGGTCACTTTGGTTTCTGCTAAGAGGTGACGTTTGTAAGCAGCACAGTATAGCACAGCTGTTGGTAGTAAGCCTAATTGTCCTTTCTGTGTTCGGAACGCCGACTGAACCATGTGGCTAAGAGAAGAACATCACTACACGGTCGCAGGAAGCTCTGTGATCTATGCTCGTATTGGTGCGAAGTGATGTGTATCCAGCATGACTTGGCGGTCCAAGTCCATCAAACGCCAAAATCTTGCACCGTCCAATCACTTGGCACATATGTCCCTGGGGCGGTAAACTTTAAGAGGTCGAAACCTTTCTGGTCCACATTCCACAGCCATCTTTGCAAACAAAACCCATCGTATAGAATATCTTACTTTAGGGTGCAGGCCATCGCAACTAGGGCCTCTTAGATTGGAGGCCATCGGTACTAGGCATCGCGACGCGCGCAACCTGACGGATCTCCAGGCGTGAAGCCAAGCTAAGGTTCTGACCATCGCAACCTCTCTCCTTTCAAGTCCGGACAGTCCCTTGAGCAAGCGAGGCTGTCTGTGGGTGCAAATCTCACTAAGTTGCTGTTCGAATTGTGTAATGAGTACACGGCCATGGTAATGATCCGATCAACAGCAATTGCAGTGGGGTAGTGTGGCATGATTATGTTTTTCATGGGCAAGCCAAGGAGAACCACGGTGCTGCCAAGATCGTTCTCAGTCTGGAAACAACATGTCTTTATGTGCATATGTATACAATAAAATCATACAATATTCTTGCAGGCGATAGTAAGTACATACTGTATTGACTCACACTTCTACTTGCCAGCACACCCCCACATGAAAACTTGCCTGGAGTTGAGGATGCGCTCAATTAAGACGTCAAATTACCTCAGGCCCATAGAGAGGGAGGAGGCCTACGCGGGACTCATTTGAGTTCAACCTACCTACTTGGATGCAGTTTTACTTAACATCTCTCACAACAAAACTACTTACATAATTGCAGTACTTTCGGGTATGGGATGCACAAGAATAACTCACAACTAACTGCTTTTCGGCACAGGTGGTGGGCATCATCCAAAGTCAAGACAGGCTGCTGCTGGTGAAAACTACGGTGATGTACTGTAAATGAAAGAACAAAGCAGCAACAGCAACATGCACAATGCATGGGTTTCCCTGCGAATTGGCCAAAAGCACGGCTGGGCCGTGCCTGAATTGCCTCATTTAAGCATTGAGCCGAAACGGTCCCGGTGCAAAGCTGAAGGCAACTTCCATGATAGCCTTTGGCAGCCAAGAGTCTCTGATGTTCAAATTTGCTTAGCCGGTCATTACATGTCATTACACTCCTAGTCAACATGAGATAAAATGAGGGGTATGTTTCGTGTACTTTGAGTGAATGATAAATTGGAATAGGCTTGTCAAAATCGTCTGAACGATTTACTAACTCTATCAAAAAGCATCAAAGTGGTTGAAACTACCAACACTGTATTGCACAAACGGCCAAAATGATACTTATGATGGTCCTGGCTCACTGCAAAAAGCCAGATCCAATCCAAGTGTGTAGAGTGTCTTTCCATCTGCCATGCTCAAATTCAGTGAAACAAGGGGTAAGCATGGGCGACGGCATGTCAAGAAAACGAACCTATCTTTTGCCAATGAAACTGTGACCAACACCGTGTGATAAGCTTGGCCTTCCAAGCAGCTGTTGGCCAACGCAGGGCCAAACAAATGATTGCTGATCTATTAACCTCAAACCCCAGGGCTGGAGTGTGAAACCGGGTTAGCTGGCCCCTCGCTCAAAATCAGAACGAATCCCCGAAAACTACAGTTTCATATTCTGTGCAATTCTTGGGTTGTCATTCTAAAGCAAAGTTAGTATATAAGGTCTGTCATCGGCTCTTGTGTCGGCACTGCACATTCGGGGCTCATGGACAGCTGACTGATCCTGAGAGAGAAGCTTCCAACGGGGTGAGACATCCACACGATCAGGAAGGTGGGAGGCCTCTCGATCGACAGGCGCTGGATCTTCCACCAACCAGCGAAAAGCTGCCTGCATACCGAAAATTTGAAACACTGGTCGTTTCAGATATTTTTCTTCTATTGCCTTGAAACTTTAGAGTTGGGCAACTTTCTGCTGTTTCATGGTTCATCCACCTGGCATATCTAGTGAATCTAGCGCTCTGAACAAATCCATGTGTATATATATATATATTTTTTTTTGCACATGTGTGAAACTTGCTTTCCGGCAATGTCGCAACACCCTTGCGTAAAGGCAACTATTTTTGTCCAGGTCATTGGCTTTGGAACATATGCGGCACAAACTCCTGAGCTGTCCGGTTGCATGTCTGATGCCATCTTAACAGTCTTAACTTTGGAAGACGGGATGATCCCCCTGCACCACCATGACGTGACAAGGAAACACCAGTGCACATTGCCCATGATCGACTTTGGCTTTCCCGCAGACCTCTAGTGACTCTGGTGAGTAGGGCACCTGCAACCGTTTGCAACAGTAATTGATATCAAGGGACACCGGACTATTGACTCAAATTTGAGAGGAGTGGTTGCTGAAGTCAACACAAAAAAGGCACACATGGCCACAGGTGTCGGCCGAGTGGCGGGCGCATATGAGTTCAACGAGCTGTGGAAGCTGTCGCACCAGTCCCCAAGGTCTTGGTGAGGTCGCCTCCCAAGATCACCTCGGCCAAGGACCGGCCCTCATGGCGCATGCGTGGCGCATGGCCGACATCGCAGCAAGTGAGATTTAAGAATTCGCAAGCGGAGACAAAGAGGAGTCCACAAGAATTCTCTTTATCAGTTCACGGAAGCTAGTGATGGAGTTGTCATTGGGGTTAAGATGGGTCAGGACCAACCATATACTGTGTATATACTGTATATATATATATTGTATACACTTATATAGAGATTGTCTGTCAGCTGCGCACTGAGCTATATGCTGAGCAGGGTGGGATAATGGTCAGTTCACAAAGAGTTGAGCGAACACAGCGGTGAGTTTGTGAAGTGTTGAGCCAGTCAAGTGGTGACCTAGCTCCATGGTAAGATACTTTTTGCAGCAGTAGGCCTTCCTAGCACATGCTAGCATCATGTATGTGGTGAGTGCAGCACGCACCTCATGCTGCCACAATGCCACAACCTGTAACTGTAAGCACGTTGTGAGATCTGACATTTTGCTACTATGTACAGGAAGTAGACTCTTTTGCCTAAGGTTAAGTACAAAGAGCAAATAAGAGACATACACAACACCATCAAAGCTTCGGAGCCAGCATTCGATCCCCTCTTGGTTTTCACATCTCGACTCTTCATCCATGTGGCTGTCCGGTGGCCGCTGTGGCAGGGTCACCAGCGGAGATGCCGTGGGCATTATGGGGGAGATGGGTGGAGAATCTTCTTCAATGCCGGCGCGGCGCAGCTTCACCTGGGCCAGGATGGCATCAGCTGGAAGATGGTCAAGCGAACAACCATCTGAGACATATGTCTGATATCAAATGGTGGTCTGACCGGGAATTCTGGCTCTCAATTCAGGGTTTAATTACACCAACAAGTGAAAATACAATTGACAAGAAGAGTCAGCACTTCTTCTTGGCCCCACAGCTCACACCCCTCAAATCATACAGAAACCACATCCGAACCCACTTTCCCTGGCATTATTTTCCAATATCCGCGTTCATTAAATCAACATCGGTAATGCTGTTAAGCCTTCCCAAACCCACCAAATCCACCAAAATCTGCACTCCGAGTTCGACTCGGTTTGACCTTCAATTCGGTGTTCTCATCCTGAAGCTCTCGGAGTTCGCGGGACATGTCGTCCATTTGTCTTCGGGTACTCTTTTTCTCATCCATCCATCTTTTCCACTCCTCTCCTTAGGCCAAGTGCACAAAAGGATTTGAGGGAGCATGTGTGTGTATTTTTTTTTTCAGTTTGTTGGGATCCTTGGGGGGAAAATGACAGGACCAATAGGACAAAAATGGACGGCAGATTGGCAGCTCCACTGGGGCTGTAGCTGCATCAGCACAGTCGAGGCCAAGCATCGCAATTTCTGATCTTCTTTTTCCAGCTTTCTTTCTTTCGCTTTCAACTCTTGATCCCTCGGGATGAAACAAATGAAGCATTCGAACGACACCATCTCACACCATCTCCGAATTATCCGTACGCAAACACAAAAAACATCATGTGAAAATCAACGGGGAACTCTTGCATCAATTTGCCAGTCAGCTATAAGATGCTAAAACGCGCCAAGGGGCCTTCGCTCGGACTCCTGAATGGGGCGTTATTTTTGGGGAGGCACGGAGCGATGTAACATGCATGTGAGCCATTGTTTCTAGGTCATGGATAACAAAGACCATACAAGTAAAGATCAAGACTCAAGACACACTGTCAGTATGATTAATCCTCTGGCTTGAAGTGGTCGTTTTGCCGGTTGTAGCTAGGACAGTGAGCTGATCCATGAGCTGTTGCACCCTCCAACCTTCGAATGACTTTCGCTCGTAAACTCTAGACATCAGAGGTGGAATCCGATCAGCCCAAACAGGCAAGAATCAAACATATGGAAAAACCACACGTGCCTACCCTGGGCAAAGGAAAAGAAAGGTCCAAAGGATTCCAAAGGTACAAAAAAGGAAAACATGGGACAATGATGGAACATGCCACCCTGACAATTCGACATTCCTCTGCAAAGCCGACAGGAGGAACATCATGAATTGGAACTCAGCAATGTTTTACTCAATAATTAGAGTAGAGACAAAATCAAGAATCTGGATTTACTGGTCTTTAAAGTGAGACCCTATGCACACTATATGCCCCAATCGTAACCTCATCAATTACATACTTAAATAGTCCCCCTATGCCCCCCTCAGAGGCCATGACCTGTCCACGGCATGGCTTTGTGGGAGTGTCTTCATCTCCAAGGCCAGACTTTGAGGGGAAGGGCTGCTGGTAGCTCAACAAGAAAATTGGTGTTGTGCAGTTGTGCTCTTTCACATCCCCCCTCCAGTCTCCGTGGGTTTTTTTCACCTAAGCCGGTGACTTTTTACGGGTGGGTCGACCGTCCTTGAGCTGCTTGCGACACTCCTCGATCTCGTGGAGAAGACCCTCTCGTTCCATGCGGTGGACTCAGCGAGCGCTGTACACAGCTAATCCACAGGATGATATACAATGATGATACAAAATGACATTTACAATGATACAGGCTGAAGATGGACGATGTCTTCTCGAACTCTTGAATACTCGTGAGCCCTTTGAATGCCCTGATCTGATCCCCTCTCCCTAACTTTGTCAGCCTTTCCTGGCAAATTGGATAGCTGAGCAAGCACTGCCGTGACGAGTTGTGTCAATCAAGGTCTCCATCAAGGTCCCTAAGTAAGTCCTTCATTGTAAGATTGTAAGGCTCATTCCGTCTGTAAACGGTACATCCACAAGTTTCTATGTCGGAGGCCATCGCTAGTAGGTTGGAGGCCATCGCTATTCTATTAGGTTGGAGGCCATCGCTAGTAGGTTGGAGGCCATCGTATTGGGGTGGAGGCCATCGCTGTTAGGGTGGAGGCCATCGCTAGTAGGGTGGAGGCCATCGCTCTTAGGGTGGAGGCCATCGCTAGTAGGGTGGAGGCCATCGCTCTTAGGGTGGAGGCCATCGCTAGTAGGTTGGAGGCCACCGCTATTGGGGTGGAGGCCATCGCACAAACCATGCCAAGGGTCATCGATACTCGTCCAAGAAGTGCTCCCAAACCTCTGCGCTGCGTGCCGCATGCTCCCAGCCACGTCGCTGTAGCCCCTCCATGAGATCTTCGAAGGGTATCGTCTGCACCTAGTGAGTTGAGCGGAGTTTAGTTTGGTGAGACGAAAAACACAAATACCGGTCTGCACCTAAGAATGATGAATGGATGATGAAAGGCCTACATTTGCCTACATGAAGTGTAGTTGGTTGATGTTGGTTGCACAGTTGCATATATCCACATCGACATACATCGACTATAATTGCAACTCTTAGAATGATCAAATTCCTGAAGCACCCCATGGATTCGCCTGAATTTTGCCATCCCACGTTTCCCTCTGCAACATCTGCACCGCTTCACAGGGTCGTCACACTAACGTCCCAGCCGTGGGATACAGACTCTGTCGTTGGGATTCGTGTGGTTGGGACGGTTCAGTCTGTCTTGTGGTTGAATGGCTGTGCTTGTTCTGTTTTGTGTCTTGTGGCTATCGGTGGCTTTTGATCTGGGAAGGTGGGG